TGGCCCGCAGTAGTCAACCTCGCCCATACAGGCAAACATACACTGCGTTCCGGATGCAGTTGGCTACTGCGGGTCATTGGGACAACAACCAGCATTGGTACAGACTGACATGGCACGCAGAAGTCAACCTCACCCACCTGGGAAAACAAAAAAAAATGTGGCACCAGCGAGAGGTTGACTACTGCGGGCCAAAACGAGAACAACCAGCAGCGGTGTACACTTACATGGCCCGCAGTAGTCAACCTCGYCCRTATAGGCAAACATACACTGCGTTCCAGATGCAGTTTGCTACTGCGGGCCATTGGGACAACAACCAGCATCGGTACAGACTTACATGGCACGCAGTAGTCAACCTCACCCACCTGGGAAAAAAGAAAAAAATGTGGCACCAGCGACAAGTTGACTACTGCGGGCCAGAACGAGAACAACCAGCAGCGGTGTACACTTACATGGCCCGCAGTAGTCAACCTCGCCCATACAGGCAAACATACACTGCGTTCCGGATGCAGTTGGCTACTGCGGGCCATCGGGACAACAACCAGCATTGGTACACACTGACATGGCACGCAATAGTCAACCTCACCCAGCTGGAAAAACAGAAAAAAACGTGGCACCAGCGACAGGTTGACTACTGCGGGCCAGAATGGGAACAACCAGCAGCGGTGTACACTTACATGGTCCGTAGTAGTCAACCTCGCCCATACAGGCAAACATACACTGCGTTCCGGATGCAGTTGGCTACTGTGGGCCATTGGGACAACAACCAGCATCGGTACAGACTGACATGGCACGCAGTAGTCAACCTCACCCACCTGGGAAAACAGAAAAAAATGTGGCACCAGCGACAGGTTGACTACTGCGGGCCAGAACGAGAACAACCAGCAGCGGTGTACAATTACATGGCCCGCAGTAGCCAACCTCACCCATACAGGCAAACATACACTGCGTTAGAGGGCGGTTGGCTACTGCGGGCCATCGGGACAACAACCAGCATCGGTAAACACTGACATGGCACGCAACAGTCAACCTCACCCAGCTGGAAAAACAGAAAAACATGTGGCACCAGCGACAGGTTGACTACTGCGGGCCAAAACGACAACAACCAGCAGCGGTGTACACTTACATGGCCCGCAGTAGTCAGCCTCGCGCAGACAGGCATACATACACTGGACAGACAGACAGGTTGGCTACTGCGGGCCAATGGGACAACAACCACCAATGGTACACACAGTCGTGGCACACAGTAGTCAACCTCTTGCAGCTTGGAAAACAACACTCGCACAATCAATACATTCACCAGTCAGCGATGCAACACGACGCCGAACGTGGCATGCGAGACCAGAATTGGCCTGCAAGGGGGACAACCTCGTGCTGTTGGACAGGTAGACATGCGCCGACAGAGGACCATTCAGTGTTGCGGCCCACTAGCCAACCTCAAGTATGTGAAAACCAGACATAGGTACATACACACAGAGAGAGAGAGAGAGAGAGAGAGAGAGAGAGAAAGAGAGAGAGAGAGAGAGAGAGAGAGAGAGAG